TAATTGTTGATTTACTATTCGACTACGTTAAATTAAATAACAGCTATTGAATCAAGAGGCTTGTGCTTTCGCGTTTTTCATGGAACATTTGATCTTCACAGAATTCAGTCTCTCTCCTCTTAGGTCGGGTGCTTATATAACTGCCTATGGTACTGTTTGTGAATAGGGTGTGATGGATAAATTGTCGTCTAAATTACGCAAAAATGAAAATAACACTGACATCTCATTTTAACAGATCTATTTACCAAAAGTGCATTCGATTTTGCACTTGTTTTGATTTGAGATAACCTTAAAAAATGACCTCCTAGAAGCACCTTCTATCTTTTGACGTCCTGAGATGACACAGAGTAAAAAATATATTTTTGTATATATGAGGATGAACCCTGTACATAATGGAGTTACCACAAATCAACTCCCATTCGCTGAAAGGTACCTGATAGACATTTTCTTCAGACATCTGGAGTTTCCAGCTGTGAACCAAATAATACATATATACGAAAGAGAAATTCGCTACGTACTATTATTTCACAAAATAGTACTAGAGATCTAAACCACTTCAGAGATCTATTCTTGTGCCATACTGAATTGGCCTGATTAAACATCAGTGTACATTACTTTCACTGATCAAAAGAAGGCAACGAGAAATGTGTGTTCGGACACACGATGACGGATATTTTATTGTGGTTTGTTGGTTGGACTCACTCAAACACGTCGCTCGAGGTGATTCCAATCATTAGTACCATAATTCCATATGTTAGAAGGCAAGTGTCAAAGGAGTTAGCAGCCATGTTGGGACATGTATAGCCTTCCTTGGCGCACACCCTCAATGTAGAGGTTGACCAGCATATCCAGTACCTTGATTTAGGTGGTAGCGCCGATACTAATTCTCTGCGAAAGGAAGATGCTAATTTGGTGTGCATCATTTTGGGCATCAAGACATCCATACGAATGTTGGGCATGGCGAAAAGATTCGATTTCTTAGAGTAATGATTAAAAATGGCTTCAAGCGTATGAAGCTCAGATCTTAGCAAGGACCATCCTTTTCAAAACCTTGTGGACTGGCGCTACAGAATCACAAAGAACTGTATCGTGTAATGAAAACTGCGTCACTTGTAGATAGCAACAGCAACAATTATAATTGATGTGCTATGTAAATCTAAGATAAAATATTTATTTTATATAAAAAAATACAAAATTGTGGCACAAGGTCAAAAGGGGAAGTGGGGAAAGTTTGGTCTTTCACTAGCTATCCCTTTCCTAGATTTAACCTCAATCAAGACCCATTCATTCAATACAATATACTAAATCACCTCAAGAACCTGTCTATCACCTCCCAATACTACATGTACCACAATACCACATATTCACAAGGGACCTCCAAAACACCCTATGACGTAAAAATTTCAAAATATATATAAAAATTCCATGATACATGAAATGATATGGAGGGGAGATGAACCCAGAAAAGAAACTTGAAATGTAAACCAAAGATAAAACTAAAACAAAACAATGTTAGTAGGAACCGTCCACCCCTCAAAATAATAAGAGAGGCCGCTGTAGTCTGTCGATAGACAGAATCAAGAAGCACACTCACTAATGGAATGGGGAGGGGAAAATAAATGACATAAATAATGCAAATCTAAGAAAATAATAATCAAGATATTCACATTTTATACTAATCAGAACAAATGGCAACGAAGGGAACTTCAATCAATAGTGGAAAGTGCGTTAACAGTTAGAGGATATATATTGTGGAGATGAATACACCCCTCCAGAAAAGGACTTGGACTCGTCCAAATACATAAATACGGACGCCGAGTATCGTTAGTAGGTGGAGAATACAAGTGCCTCGAGTCCATCCCTGATAGGACCATTTCGGCTTGTCTCGCTCCCGAAAAGCTCGTGTGACAATGTGTCGCCCCCGTATTCTGACGCTGCTGGCCACGGCCCGAATGGTGATGTGGACGACGCGACAGGGGGAAGTCTTGCGAAGCAACCGTCTTTCGCATCAGGATCTGATCCGATTCTTTGAGCATCAGCTCAAGATGAAGATTAGAACTGATAGAAAACGTTTGCAGTCTTTAGCGAAATGTGGGTGACTGAGGCGAGCTTGATTTGTATGAACGGGGCTAACCTTGATTTTCTCTTTTAGGCCTACCTAGGTTACATCGGGGTGGCTTCCTGTGGGGCCCTCCTCTGGTTAGTCTAGACAAGCTTTGTGTACCTAGTTAATGTGAGTAAATGTTGTTCCTGGCCTGCTCCTGGCTACATCTTTGGTTATGATCCAAGAAGATATTCCCAACCTCCCCAGTTTGTTTTTGACCCCCTTTCATCTCGACTGGGTCAGCTTTATTGATTCCCCATGCCCGTCTATATTTTCTCTTTCTCTCCTTTAGCGAGTGAGCTTCTGTCTTAGGACAGAATACAGCGGCCTCTCTTTTTGAGGGATGGACGGGTCCTGCTAACATCAGTTATATTTATTTTACTTTGATTTGATATTTAGTTTGCTTTGGGGTTCATCCACTACCCTCTCATTGTCAATCATTAGATTTTTAGGTATGGAACCTTTATTATCATCAAATTTTTATATCACGGGGTGTGTTTTTGTAGGTTCCCCTGGGAGGATGCGGCATTATGGTATATTGACGACGGATGAGCTTTTATGGTGAATGCGCGAATTGTAATGAGTGAATATGACGTTAATCGGATTAACTAGGTATAAGATAGTGAAGAGAAGCCTCAATCCATTCCCTGTTTTAGGCCTTGTGCCATAATTGTATTTTTATACAATAAATATTGAAGGAGTAAAAAAGTAAAGAGTTAGACATCTTGCTTATTACCTATTTCCACAAGACTACACAGACTTCAAGCGACATACTATTTCTTGATGATGTTATCTTCATTCAATGCAAGGAAGGCAACAGCGATGATGAGAATTCAGATTCTCACGGAAAAATTGTTTCCTCTCTCTGGCGAAATTCAAAATTCAAAATTCACGGAAAAATCTTTTTAGTAGAGATCGTGTACATTCATAGCGCGACACCCGCGCATTGGGAAAAATTCAAGGCTTTGTGATATACAGCTATTAAGAAAAAAATTCTTCGTAGTTAAGGACTAGTAGTACGAACTAAATCCACTTGGAAAATCAGGTCACAAACGAAGCTAATGCAAGTCGAAAAGCAAAAGAAACACACAAATTAACCTGGGGAAATTTGTGCTTCCAGCTAAAGAATTGGAAAGTTCAAATATAAAATTCGTGACAGTACAAACGAATAAAGTGAGATTTCAATTGGTCACTGTTTGTAATATTACAATTATTGATTAACTATGGAATTGGCCGATTAATTAATTCTGTGGAAAAACTGATTTTTCGTCAGAGAAAAACATGATAGCTAAAGAAACACTAAGTAAACTAAAAAAAATAAATTCACGATTATTTTCTCATGAGTTAGAGAAATGTACAGTCGAAGGCTTATTTTAAATTGAAAGAAAATGTGATAGCATTGTTTAAGCTTAAAATAAAGATACCCTTTCCTGTGTTGGAGTCTGTTAATACTGAACTGGGTAGGTTAGAAAACCTCGGAATTATTGAAAGAAATCGATTATTCAGAATGGGCCACGCCAGTAGTTTATATTAGAAAAAAAAATTCGTTTATATGCAGATTTTTCAACTAGATTGAATGACTGCATCCTACCACATTCATATCCACTACCTACTCCAGGGGATATATTTCCCAAATTCAATGGTGGTAATATCATTTCAAAAATTGACCTGTCTGGGGCATATCTTCAAATCGAAGTGAATGAGGAATACCAGGGGTTTTTGACTATTAATACGCATAAATGACTCTACAAGTTCAAAAGATTACCCTTTGGCCTCAGGTATTTTCCGGAAAATAATGGATACGATGTTGGCTGGACTAAATAGTTTAGTTGCTTACAAAGATGATATACTTCTTAAGAGTTCTGGGAAAATACACCAAGTAAAACTGATTCAGAGAGTATTTCAGAGACTACAAGATAACGATTTCAAAATAAATGAACAGAAATGTTAATACTTTCTAGACAAGATTAAATATTTCGGTCAGATAACCGGCGTAAAAGAAAGAAAACCAGATCCTGCTAGAATAAGTGCCATTAAAGACATGCCTCCGCCGACAAATTTGGTAAACCTACAATCATGTCTTGGATGTCAATCATGTCTTCTTATTCTAATTTACATGAAAGAAGAAAAAAGCATGAAGGGCTCCTTAGAGCATTTGAGGCTGTTCAGCAATTGCTGGCGTTGGATCACATAGGTGGAACCAGTAAAGTCAGATCTAATCTTTCTTCAACATGTAGTACTGAAGATCCTGCTATATGGAGCTGCTCGATAATCATTCTCACCGCTCATTTGGGTTGTAGTTAATGATGATTCTGGATATTGCTGGCGAACTTGCCGGTCCTAAACGCTTAGACTGTTTCTTTCTCTTGGCTACAGATGAAACATCATTTCCTGAGGCCTCCGGCTCATCTCTGATCTTGAACAATAAGGACCTGGCTCATTTCAAGAAGCTGCTGTTAGTGTCACGAGTGCAGCTCATTTTTCATTTCCTGTGGAGCGTCGAAAGCTGTCATGTCTGGGAGAGAAACGAAAATGTTAAATAATGCACAATACCACGTTAGGCTATCTTATATTTATACTGTGATTAATGTGCGCTTCGAAATAACTGATATACTCTGTATTTGAATAATTTATTTTTACTTCTCTCATCATTTTCTATATTTCCTTTATTACACGTATTTTCCTCTTATTTTTCTTAATCTTTACGAAGCGTAACAAAGTCAAACGTAGGAAATTTTTGTATAGGGTGATTGTGCTGGGAAGAATTACAATTTGAATAAACTTGGATGCCTAGAAAATCAGTATTCGAGATGTTGATTAATACTACTGATATAAAGCCACATGTGTATTTAAAAACTTCGTCTTAATATTCCTGCGTGATTAACTTGAAAATTAGTTCTTTATTTTTAATTCATATTATTTGTCTTACGTCTTTATTTCTATTTCCTTTTTCTTTCTTTCCTTCTTTTTCTTTCTTTCTTTCTTTCTTCCTTCTTTTTTTCGTTCTGTCTTTCTTTTTATTTTCTGTTTATTCTTTTGATGTTTCTCTTATTTCTTTTTCTTTATTCTTATTTTCATTTTTCTTTTCTTTTTTCTTTTCTATCTTTCAAACCATAAGTTAGTCTTCATTATGCAAATTTTTGTTTCATTTTATTATATTTTTCGCTCATTCTATTTTTGCTTCACTTTCATTCTTATATTTCATTTTTCGCTCATTCTTCCTTTTCCTTCTTTTTGTCTTTTTATTGCGTTCTTCTCACATTCTAGTCATTTCTATCTTTTTCTTTCCTTTATTATATTTTTCGATCGTTTTTATTTATCCTTTCCGTAATTAATTTTTTTTTTCACATTCTAGTTCTTTGCTTTTTTTTCTTTTACCACATTTTTGTTTCTTCTCGATTTTCCTTCTTGCCTTTTCTGATATATTTCAAACCTCGCTTTTTCTTTTTCTTTCTTTTCTTTCCTTTTATTTCATTATCATTCATCCCTTTTTCTTCTTTCCTTTATTAAATTTTTCGTTCATTGTCGTTTTTGGATATTACTTTGATTTTTTTTCCAGCTATTCCTTCTTCCCGCTTCTTATCTTCCTTCATATCTCTGCTAGATACATTTCTTCTCTTACCTTTTGTCTTTTCCGAAAGACGTGCTTTCTTGGAAATATTAAATAAAAGTTGAATAAACTTGGCCGTTTATAATAGAAAACAACTTATCCAAAACAAAATTAACAAATAAAAATGGCTTCGAACTAAATGATTACGAAAGATAAACACAAACAATGAATAAAAACAAAAATAAATGTTCGCAACAAAATATAACGAAAACAAATTTTTACAAAAACGGAGAAAATGTCGAGTGACATTTTCATATTGTTGTGCTTCTGGACATCTCAAGCTGTGACATATTTTCTTTTCTTTGCGTTCTGTCTGAGTAAACTCAAATGGAATATTTTCATCAGGGACTGGATAAAGCATACAACGTTGGCTCTTGAGTCTCCAATCAATTTTTACTCTTGTTTTTTTTTTTCTTTTCTACTCGCATTTTCCTCTTTCATACTTATTTAATTCCTTCCTTGGTTTTTTATGCTTTAGCTATTTGTAATTCTTTCTTTCTTAGGTCAATTTATTGTTTCTGTTATTCTTTCTGAGGCACCAACATTTTTTTTGTTTGTTTGTTAGGTCGCTTTAATCTCTTTTTATTTATTTATACATATTTAATTCCGAAGCTTCCCAGTCTTTCTATCTTTGTTTCCCTCTTTCTCTCTTTCTCTCTTTCTCTTTCTCTTTCTCTCTCTTTCTCTTTATTTCTTTTTCTTTCTTTCTCTCTCTTTCTTTTTCTTTCTTTCTCTCTTTCTTTTTCTTTTTCTTTCCCTCTTTCTCTCTTTCTCTCTCTTTCTTTGTTTTTCCTTCTCTCTGTCTTTGTTTTTCCTTCTCTCTTTCTTTTTCTTTGTTTTCATTTCTCTCTTTGTGTTTCATTGTTTTTCTTTCTCTCTTTCTTTTTTCTTTCTGAAAATTTCCTATTATATCTATTAGTTTATTTATTTACTGTCCGAAGTCTGTCAATTACTTTATTTCTCGAAAATGTGAGGAAGACGAGGTTTTGGAGAGAATGGAAACTAAAAATGGAAACTTAAACTTAATATCAGAAAGAGGCAGTTGAATTTTCTGGAGCACGTAATGAGGAAGGAAACTTACAAAATTTGATACTCGCAGGTCAGATAGAGGGAGAAAGAGGAAAGCAGCGTGGGACGTACTTGATGGGCTTGAGAAAATGACTGCAAGAACAGGGTTTGAGATAAATAAAAAAAGACAAGACTTATTACTAGGGAAAGTAAGATGTGAGGGCCAAGATCGCCGAAGGTACACGACAATTAAACGAAGAATGCTCTCCAAGCTGTAACCTGATATTGAACTCACAACCATTTGGGTCTAGACACTGGATCTAACCAACGCCTTTATCCACTGGACCATGTCCTCAAGGACACACCTAAGGAGCATACAACGGCCGAAACATTAGGACTACAACAATGACGATATTCAGTCACCCCACCACGAGGCTGTCATGTGGCACAAGGCCTTTTTAACGTGGGCATTCCGAGCCCGTGGGCTCGGCCAAAAATATTCCCATATGCCCGTATAAACGGGTTCAGGGCCGGTCTACCTCCCCGAAGGAGACTCCGCCCTTCGGCGTAGCCTCCTTCGGGTTCCTCCCGTCAGTAGGAAGAGAGTTCAACCGAACAATACATCAATGACGATTACGATCATTTAAAAACACTTTTATTATTTTCATCATTTATTTTCAACATGTTCCTAAAACTTGGCATTTTTTTTCCTTTACAATATCAGGCGTCAAATCATGAGTAGCAGCGAAATTCAGGATGTCATTTAGGTGCTTATGTGTGAGCTTTGAGTACTGCTTTGTTTTATTGATGCTCATTAAAGGGAAAACTTGTTCACAAAGGTAGAAACATGCAAAAAACTTTCGCAGCAAATGCTGTCAGTTTGGGGTACTTTAGCAAGAGATGCTAATAAAATGTGTCCAAGCCCACTAAGTTAAATTTGTTCTTCAAATCTGAATCACAGTGCAAGTCAATTATTTCAAATTTGATGTTAGCGGGCAAATCAAAGGCGTTGACGGTAAATGGTGAGTGAAAAACTTTGAAATCTGTTTCAATTTCATCAAAAATCTGAAACCGTTGCTCAAACTCTCACAGCAATCCCGTGAAATTGTTTTTTTACCGATTCATGACAAAATTATTTGCGGTCGCAACCACATCTTTTATACAATGAAAATTAGCAGGGTCACCACCTTACAGTAGTCTCCCACAAGTTAGCTTCAACTTGAACGCGCGTATGCTTTCAAAATACTGTGGTTTATTACGGCCTTACAGCATGCTCTGTAATATCAACGATAAATGCTAAATCTTGCAGCCATTTTTGTGATTGAAATTCTAACACTAGTTTGCCCTTTTTCTCCATGAACTCTTCAATTTTTTTTCTCGTAAATTAAAGAAACGCTTCAGCACAGCAGATCGGCTTAACCACCCTACCTCGATGTGATATGGCAAGTCATAGGTAAGCTCCTATATTGCCGAAAAGATTGTCCAACTACCGGTGATTCATACCTCTAGTTCGGATTAAATTAGCAGTTCAGATAACCATTTCCACGATGTTATCCATTTTTAACGGCTTGCCACACATTGTCTCCTGTTTTAAAATTCAGTGAAATTTCCAAAAATCACGTCCTCCATTTGCAGTTTCTACGTCCTTTCTGAACTGCGTGAGAACACTTGCTTTTTTCCCCAATCATTGATGAGGCGCCATCTGTAGTCACGCTGATAGCACGGGCTTAGTCTTCTCCGAACCTGTTCAGCGCTCCAACGAGAGAGGTGAAAATGTCATTTGCTGTTGTGATGTCCATCATATAACCAATTCCAGGAACCCCTCAGTGACGGTCAATACCTCCCTGAATTAATATGGCCAGCTGCGCATCATCTGTAATGTCCACGCTCTCATCAATTGCAACCGAAATTGCTTGAGTTGTCTGTCGAAATCTGCAGAAAGATCTGAAATTCCATCTGCCAAAGTGTATCTAGTATCTAGGCTAATGTTGGCAAAAAAACTGTCGCTTCTCAGGGTATACAATTTATGCAGCTTTCAATATGCATGTTTTCTGAAACCATGTAGAGAGCCAGTTCAGGCCCGCGGACCGTAAGTTTGACACACCTGTTTTAGAGGATACACATATTTGAGTAGACACTCCATTTATTTATTAAACAGCACATTTATTTATTCTCGTCTGCCGGTCTGAATATTCGAGAAATCTTATTAAAGAAAAAGCGGGCTTTCCGGCAGAATTCAAACTTGCGTCCCCCTTGGCAGGAGAAACTCTCGTTAGATCCGACGTGCTTTGGACCGATTCAGTCACGTGATGCGTTGCTGATAAAGCAAAGCTGAATGTCTTAATAAATAAAAGGAGCGTCTAAAATAATACATATATAATAATATATATGCGGTGGGGGGAATAATTAACTGTTTCTTTTTTCAATCAGAGAATATTTATTAATACTATATACGTTATTGTAGTGTGTACATGTGTTTGAATAGATATGTCTGTTTACTTACAAACAATCCAATTAACGCATACCTGCGTAGTTAGTCGAAAATCTTATGAAATAAAACGTATACCCCGGTAAGAATCGAACGCAGGTTGTAGCAAACTATGGTCTTTATTTATTTTTTTTTCAGTAACGTTCTTTATTTTTTCTTATATAACCGCTTCTTTTTCCTTCGATAATTTGGTTTTCCTTCATACTAAATTTCACCCACTAGAATGGTCGAGAGTCACTCAACATCGTGGGTTACTGTTAAAATGCTCATGATGACTGGTGTTTTAGATGAATTAAAGAGGATGTGATATTATATAAAAATTATGAGGATTAAAGTAGATGACGATTGGCCCGCGGTTTCTAAAGGTTATTATTTTATCTTTCGGAGGTGCATCCACACGGTAGGCTGTTTGACGAACTAGCATTTCTTGGGAAAAATATATCCGCGGAAGCAGTATGGCATGTCCAAGAAGTAAAGGTCCGAACTGGTGGAACTAAAGAATAAGGCTCATCTAAACATGCGCAATGGGGACAGTGACAGAAGAGCGGGAAGCTTAGAACGTTCAATCTGTGGAAAAGAGGCTGTAAAGATGAGAAAAGGTATTTTCTCTTAAGGCTGCGTAAATGGGCTAGAACTCTATCACGGTTTGAGCAAGGGGACTGTACAGTTGCAGACCAGATATAGCAGCGATACTCTTAAATGTTTGTAAATGTATATAATACCTACATACTGGACTCTCTGTCGTTCTTAGAACGAGCAGTCAGATTACTGTTGCATATCATTTGATTATAGTGGCGAAGGCTTGTGCAGAATCGACCACACTATTTTGGAAGAACCAAATACAGAGACCTAGTGTACAATATGCCAAAAGGTGCCCAAATGAACTACCACAGGTGTTGAATTCAGAGTTCTCCTTTTCCGAGAAAGTTTCACACTCAAGGCTATAGAACCTAGTCTGCCCTGCTATTTACTCATAGCTGAGGGGAGAAGAGATGGGTTCATACATTTGTAATGAATTCGACTAGAATTTGAACTCGGCTCTCCGATTTCTCAATTCAAGCTGTAACCCATTACACCATCCCCGCCACACACACACACACACACACATCGTGGAATCAGACAGATTGGGGTTTTGCTACAATACAATTTCCACTGGAATACACCCCATCTACAAAAACATCTGTCGTTGAGTAATTCACATTTCTCCGTTTATTCTTCGGTCCGTTGATGAAGGACACAGGCGTGTCCGAAAATTCCGAACTTTAAACCCTTTCTCTGCCTGCTTATTTCTGTTATATGGTTAATAAATAATATTTAATAAATGTTTATCGTACTGATTATATTGGTACGCTTTCATTTGTTCTTGTTTTATTTGCTAACCTATCTATTTTACTTATTATAAGAAGCACACGTGGATCCTCTTTTAATTACATATATATGTGTGTGTGTGTGTGTGTGTGTGTGTGTGTGTGTGTGTGTGTGCGTGCGTGTGTGTGTGAGAGAGAGAGGCGGGAGAGAGAGAAACAGGAAGATAAAATTGCGGACGTACGATAAAATTGCGGACATACTAATAGATATTGATTGAGGAAGGCACACCTTTAGATAGATAGATAGATAGATAGATAGATAGATAGATAGATAGATAGATATGAACAGTCTGAGAATGTGGGAGATCTAGACAGATTAAGACAGATAGATTTTAAGAAAAAGTGAGAGAGAAATGAAAGAAACAGAGAATCTAACTCTTGTATAGAAAAATCATCGCAAAGAAAGTCAAGTAGAGTAATTGGCTGAGCTGATTATTTTTCCAGCGTTAGGATTAATGTGAATTCAGCTTTTCAAAATTTGCACAAATCCACACGATCTCTAAGGGATTCGAGTTCGTGTTTACTAATAAATCATACATCTTTTTGAAAAGCGCAATTGAATAGAAGCTTAACTTAGGAAACTTTCGCATTTACTCGAGACAAATGGTAATGTTTGGGTTTTGAACCAATCTTTAAGTTAAACAGAATCCCCGGGGGAACACTAAAAATGCTAGTCACCAGCCCTAACAGGTTTTGACTTCTAATATAGACACTTTCAGACTTCAAGTAAATAAAGTTAGTTATGCTTGTAAATCAAAATGAGATTTATTTTTGAATTTCATGAGTAAAGGTCAGCGACAAATTCTCAGAATTTAGTCGAATAAATCCAAATATATGTGTGTAGAAACCGATGATGTGTATTGATCGACCCTTGATATTTAGCTAAGAGAAAATTAGCTTATCATACCTCGCTTGCATCGATCAGCTCCAGATTTTGCTGTATTCTGTAATATATAATGTTTAAAAAATACACTATATTTCATTTAAAACAAAACAAAAAAAACGCTCCGTAACCCTCCCACTTGGCCTTGGAGATACAACACTAACAACCAGTAA